AATGATCAAGGTATATTATATGAGCATACAAATATGGCAGAATGAGATCCATTCTTTAACATACAATAAAAAAGAGATTTGAAATTTTAAAACTTTTAGAACACCATCCAAATATTTCCCTAATTTTTCTTCTTATAATTTATTAGCAGAAATGAATTACAAGCAACAGAGTATACCATTGTTTTAATTGTTGGTAATTGCCATCTTAAGAGCTCATGAAGCAAGATATGGTTATACTGACAGATTTGTGAATTAAAAAAAAAAACTTTTCAAAGTTTTTGTCTGTCTTTGCTTTCAAGTTATGACCAATTCACAGCAGTTTGAAAGATGATAAAATACTAAGCAAAGAGCCCACTAAAATAAAATCAGGATTAATTTTACCTGTTACATTCCTTTTTCGAAAGTAATGAAATTCATTTATTTATTGCTTTTTTGAGACAGGGTCTCACTGTGTAGTTCAGGCTGACCTTGAACTTGCAGTGATTCTCCTGCCTCAGCTTCCCAAGTGATGGGATTACAGGTGTGCACCACCCCTATGACATTCTTAAAGTAAAAATTAGAGTAAATGTAAACTGAGCAGAGTGGCACATGCCTATAATTCTAGCGCTCTGGGAGGGTTCAATGCCCAGTGCCACTAAATAAAGTAATAAGTCTAATATATTACCAGGTAACACCCTACAGGATGAGTTGGAACAAATGCAGCATTTCACAGATTCATTTACAGATCAGGCATGAAAGTGTTTAGATAAAGCATCTTACAGTGGTGCCTCGATTCACAAATAGTTCTTTCCATGATTCTGGGGGAAACAGCCACATTCGTGTTGCTGCAGAAAAGATAGTCGTGGTCATGTTCACTACTCGATGCAGGATTAGCAAACACAAACAAGATTTTGCCAAACACTTCTGTTTGCAAACCGGGTTGTTCTCATATGAAAGTGTTCAATAACGGAGTCACTGCTGTATTTTCACACTGTTGAATGTAGAACCTTTAAGAACAAACATCTCCAGGAGTAGTGGTGCTTGCCAGTAATCCTAGCTGCTACTTGGAAGGCTGAGTTAAGAGGATCACAAGTTTGAGCCCAGCCCGGGCAATTTAGTGAGACCCTGTCTCAAAATTATAAAATGAATGAATGAGTGAAGAATGAGTCTACAGCTCAGTACGATGCAGGTTCTGTCTCCAGTACTGCAGTACAAAGAAACAAGTGTAAAGCAATATGTAATTTATGACAGCTGGCTAGGCACTCAGGATGGAGAAAGAGACTTTCAGATTTTGAGGTAAACTAGAATTATTTTCTGCAATCACAAGCTCTTTGCTGTTTGCATAAGGAAATGCAGCTGATTTTTTGCTTGACTTTATATTTATACACCCAGTAAACTTGCTAAATTCTCTTTATTAATAAAAGCCAGGTGTGGTAGTGCACGCCTGTAATCCCAGCACTTGGGAGGCTGAGGCAGGAGGATCTCTGTGAGTTCCAGGGCAGTCTAAAATACATAGTGAGACCCTGTCTGAAAAAAAAATTAGTTATGAATCTTTAATTTATTTTTAGTTTTTCCACAAAGATGATAATGTGTGAATAATGAAAATTTTCTCTTTCCAAACCTTGTAGCTCTTATTTTTTCCCTTGCTACCTTGCTTCATTCCTTCAGTACAGCAGTGAATAGAACTCTGTATCTATGTGTGTATATATTTGCACTCACACATGGGTCTGTAACTCTTCATTTGTGTAAATATGTTATTAAACTATGGATTCTAACCAAATCCTCTACCTTAGCATTCTTTCTACCTGTCTCCCATTGCTAGTTTTCTGTCATCGAGAAATCTGACTCTCCCTTTCCCTGTTGTGTTTGCTTACTTGCTGCTAACTTTTCCCTCAGTTCAGCCAACCTACTAATTACTGAGGCTTCTTCCCGCATACACAGACTCTGTGCCCTTTCCTCACCACTCCATCTTCTCCTTCAGTGATGTTCGCCACAGCTTCCTGCCACCCCCTCGCCCACTGTGTCTGCAGCTGCCATGCCCGCTAGCCCATGTCTTCACATGGTTCCTCAGCCGCCAACTCCATCCATGCCCACCCTTGGCCCTTTGGCCCACAGATTGACACTTCCATGGCCCACCCACTGCCCCTTACGCTTCCACTAAGTAACCCTGGTGCACCCTCTGCTCGATCCCAACAGCCCATCATGTGCCTGCAACCCTTGACCCCGGGACACGCTGGCCCACGGCTCTGCAGCTCCCAGCCCCTCACTGCCCTCTACTCCAGCCGCCACTGTTGCTCCTGAACCAGGGAGGGAGGGAAGAGGCGGAAGGGGAGGGAAGGCTGTTCCGAGGGCACCATAGATGCCACGTGTAACCATGCTGTCACTCTGGTGGCTAACTGGACTGTGTACTTATGTTTGCTTGTATTTTAGAATATCTTCAATTTTCATTTCTAATATAGTAAATATTGATAGGCAGAATCAACATAAATAAAATCTCTTTGAGATCCTCAGTGATTTTAAGAACATGTATTCCTGAGATCAGAAAGTTTGGGAATTGCTATTTACACAGGAAAAGGACAAATACTTTAATAAAATGTGGGTTAAAGACAAGCACATCATTTTGTTTACAATAAGCATTATGAAAAAGTGGAATTTCCTAATAAAGAAATACAAATGAAAACTAAGGTATTATTTTGCTTGCTTATCAGATTGGTTATAAAAGTATTATAAATAGTCTTTTGAAGGGCAGTTGGGCAGAATGTATCAGAAGCCTATGTTCCCTTTGACCATTTCTGGAAAAATGCTCTACAGAAATTATTGAGTGTATCTGAAGATTCAGTGTGTTTATCATGCTCTTCTTGTGCAGTATTGAACATTCAGAAATAAGGGCTGGGGATTTAGCTCAGTGGCACCATACCTGACTTGTAAACGTAAGGTCCTTAGTTCAGTCCCCGGTACCAAAAAAGAAAAAAAATGTACACACACACACACACACACATACATATTCGGGAAAATTTTTAAAAAAGAAAAATCCAAATGATACATAGAACTGTCCAATGTTGGGGGGAGCATAGTCAATGTGTTTTCTGTCTTCTAATTAGTTTGGGGCAGTAGCGCCCAAATACTCAGTGGCACCTGTGACTTACCTTTGGGAAACTGGGATTAATCTGACCTGGTTACCCTTCCTTGTATAAGTAGGTACAATAATGTCAAATAATAACCCATCTGCATAGAACACATTAATAATTTGTGGGTTTGTTCTTTCACCAAAAACATTTCTGTCTTGTTGCTTTTAAAAATAGTGCTGGAGCCCAGCAAGATAGAAAAGGGAAAATTGGCCTAGATATTACCAAGGATAGCAGATGAACAGGGTTGATTTCATTTTGGGCACTTTGCCCAGGACACTTTTAATAGAACATATAGTTACTCTAGGGATTCTTATTCTGGTTATATCAGGCTTACACATTTATTCTATAAAAGGAAAAATTGGAAGTTATCAGACTCCAGGTACATTGGTATGACTTCAAATTTTTAGAGTGGTTTCTGTGATCCTGCCATTGAAAATTTGATGTGTGGATGCTTAATTCCTAAATATTAAATTTCATTCAATCATGGATAGAAACATGTTTTGAACTTCTCTAAAATACAACGTGTTCTTTGATTTTTTTTTTCAAAGCTTAAGTCAAGTGTATAAAGATATCTAAAGTAGGAATAGGATTATTTTTATGTGATCAATTTTTTATCTCCTTATTTTTAAGACATTTTTGTATAATCAGGAAATAAATCTTCAATGGAAAATACATTTTGGAAATGCTGTACAACTTTACTACCTATAATTTAGAATTATTTTGTTGTTGTTGTTGTTGTTTTTTTTTTTTTTTTTTGGTACTGAGGCTTGAACTCGGGTCCTTGCTCTTGCAAGGCAGGCCACTGAACCACTGAGCTAAATCCCCGGCCCCTAACTTAGAATTATTGATCTTATAGTTAACCTTAAAAATTAGAAGGAAAAATACAAATATGATAATAGAGTTTGCATTGGGACAGTTGCTTTGAGTGAATTTTTCTTTCTCTGTTTTCCAAAATTTCAGTAACATGTTAATTGCTTTATTATTTATAATATTATTTATAACCTCTTACCCCCCAAAAAGTAACTTAAAGCATTGAGCATTAAAAAGGCTGAGATTCTCAAGTAATTAAATTATCTCTTATTAAGTAATAAGGTAGCTTGCTTGCTCACTGTGTGTGTGTGTGTCCAACCTTCTACTCTAGCATTACACAACATCCTAAATCCTTTTTCATTTTTATTTTGAAACAAGGTCTTGTTCAGTTGACCAGGCTGAACTCGAACTTCCAGTATTCCTGCCTTAGCCACCTGAGTAGCTAGAATTACAAGCATGTACCACTGCATACAGCTTGTTTTGATTTGGAGTGATGTGTTTCAATCTGCAAAGTTCTTACTACAGAAATTTCTGTTATAATGTAGTTATATCAGTAGGTAAAAGAAGGGCCCGGAATGTAGCTCAGTGGCGCCGTGCCTGCCTGGTAAGTGGAAGGTCCTGAGTTCAAAACCATGTTCTGGGAGAAAAAAAAAATTACCCAAACAGTATATAAGATATACCCTGAGAAGATTTATAGTCATCATCTCCCATTTTTCTTCTTTATATAGGATTGAGTTTAGTATATCTAGAATGAATAGGTATATGTAAGGTCTTAGACTATTTAGATGAGTCCAAAAAATTAAAATGTACACTAATTTTTTGAGATGGCCTCTCTGTTTTGCCCAGGCTGTCCTTGAACTTGTGATATTCTGAGCCTTCTGAGTAGTTGGGAGTGTCACTGTACACCACCTCACCTGTTTCACATAATGTTTTAACTAAGTAGTCTTTCCAACTTTTCTAATAAAATAAACATTATATACTTGCAACACATGTATTGGTAAGTAGAGAAGGAAAATTGAGGTTATCTATGATACTTAGCTGCTTCTCTTGTACTTATTAGATTACTTTTTTTTTTTTTTACAGTTCAAACGATATGTCAGTAAACTTCGAAGCAAGAGTACAGTTTTCAAAAAGAAGCATCAGATAATAGCTGAATTTAAGGCTGAGTTTGGTCTTTTGCAGAGAACGGAAGAACTTCTTAAGCAATGTCATGAAAATATTCAGCATCAGTTGGTAATATGGTATTATCTTGGGCTGCTGTTACTAAAATGCCAGGAGATTTATGGGTTACAGCTTTCTACTATGGTCATTATTTTTACTGGAAAACCCATAAAGTTATTTGTATTCTCTGATTAATTATAGAGATGTCATAAAAGCTGATTCATTTATTTTTAATGTAGCAGTAAGCACTGCCCTTTTAAAATATGTGTGCTGACTTTGGGATTATTAATAGAAGTTGAAGTCCAAGTAGGTTTTTCTTTTGATTAGTTAATTTGAGTAAAATTATCATTCCAAAAGAGTGACTGTAAAGCATTTATAATATTGTGGCCTCCTGGGCAGAAATCTCTAAACATGCACTTCTACGGGACTCTGGAAAGAAATTTCTGGGGCGGGTGGTGGTGGAAGGTCTCTGTGGACTGTCCTTGTGTGTTTCTCCATTGTCCGAAGAGTTGAACCCACAGCAGTCCAGCAACAACACTATTGTCACTGCACACCAGCCCCTCTGTGTTCCTTGGTTGGATTTATTTTTTCTTTCACCCTTGGGGTAACTATTTCATCAGGATGGTGCTTTCTAGCCAGCAGTAATCTGGGAGAATAAATGGCATTCAACCAATTGCCATTCGTTTTAGCTGACAGTGTGAATTTTGCCATTTCATGCTGACAATTACTGTTGGCTTCTAAAGAATTCAAGATTGAGAATATACTGTGAATCAAACATGAATCCTAATAGCTAAGCTTTAAAATTGATAGTAGTAACTACATAATTGTTCATGTTTCCCCTCCTTTGTTAGTTATAGCTTCTGTTATCCTGCTTTTTTGTTTGTGTGCTTTTGTCAGAGATTACAACACAAACTCTTGAGTTGTCTTCCCTAAAGTTTTATCTTTACAATGTCCTAGGCAATGCAAGAACCTTACAATCCCCTAAATCCATTTACCTGCTTCCAATATTTTGTGTAACTGTGGAAACTTATCTTTAATTCTTAATATTTAATTTTTTTTTTTTTTTGGTTTTTTTGAGCCAGGGTCTAGCAGTGTAGTTTAGGCTGCTCTTGAATTCACAGTGATCCTCCTGCCTCATCTTCCTTAGGATTACAGGGAAGCACCACCACACCTAGCTATGATTTAATTTTTGCGTGGCATTATATTCAGTGTTATTCTGGATTTATTATTATTTTATTTTACTATTTTCAAGGCTCGTCCCTTCCTGCATCAACATTTTTCTCCTAGGATCTGTCTGATGAGCTCCTCTTCAATATCTTGTTTGGTGTAGGTCTGCTGGTGACACATCCTCTCAGTTGTATTTTTTAAAAAATATCCTTATTTTGTATCTCTGAGGTTTCTTTTTTTTTTTTTTTTTTTTTT